GCCACTTCTACCCTGTCTCTCAGAGTCGCTGTGCGTTGGAAACGGCTTGATGGCCATGAGTGTCACTGAGATCACCCAGGGGGACGGAAGACTTCCACAGTTGTTCTACTACCACGGGACTGTCCATCCATCCGGACGTGCCTCCTTTCCTTAGGCGTTCTGGTTGGCGCAAACGATTCAGTGCTTGTCTACGGGTCAAAAGATTGGTCTTCTGGACCTGCCCAGAGACACCATAAAAACCCCATGGTGCTCAGATCTACTCTGCACAGAATCACAAATAAATGCCCTAACTTGCTCTAGCCAATGACTTCTCTGTGGCTCTTGGCTTCATTCCCTGCAGGTATTGCGGTGTCTCTTGAGGTGGATGAATTGGCCTTTGGGTTCTGGTTCTGAGTGAGGCTGATTTGACTAAGAGGGATCACCTGGGGACTCAATGCTGACTTAACCCGGGGAGGAGGTGGTGAGGCCAATATAAGCCTGGGAGGAGGCTCGCTGGAGCTTCTGCCTGGGGAGTGTGAACGTTCTGTTCTCTTAGGGAACAGTCTGTCCCTGGGAGGCATGGAAGCTTTGTTCTGTTCTGAAGAACACTAACTCCCCACCCCCACCCCCATCTAATCCTTGTCTCTGTAGGGAGGGGTCAATCCAGGGGATAAGTAGATAGAAAATTCTTCAGAAGAGACCCTGGGCCCTGCAAAGGACAGAGCCGAGAGACACAGAGGCAGAGCCCAGCAGAAAGCAGAAGCTGGTGTTGACCGCTGCACAGAGCAGGCTGAATTAACTATAACTTCTTCAAGGCAGTGACAACTCTAGAAGCAGCAGAGACCGGAATTGGGCCCCTGCAGGCACAGAAGCCCCACCCAATGCACAAGGGAGCCTGTCTGAGCCAAGAGGGGCTGCCCGGCACCCAGGTGTGGGCAGAAGGTCTGGAGCTTGGAGTCCTTGTCCTCAACCTTGGGTGTCGTCCATGTAGAGGCTGACCTCAGAGCATTTCTGCTTCATGACGAGGCTGCTACTCGAGAGCTGGACCGGCCACGAACCTGCCTGACACCAGTAACGTAAGAATGAAAAGACTTTCCACCATGAATCTGTTAATAGAGACAACACTGCCCTCTGCTTACGGCTTGGTGCTCTCCCATTCTGGGGGCGTCTGTGTGCACTGGCACTGCCGGGATGAATGTGGTCTTCTCATTAGTGAAGAACCCAGCAGGCGCCATCCTAATACATTTGTCTGGTTTAAGCCACCTGTGAGCGCATGGCATGTGGCAGACAGTGGTGCTCACACTTGTGTCTCAAACCACGGGATCTTTTCTTCAAGGAAAGCTTGCCCGGGGCCCAGGCTGCGGGCCGAGCTCAGGAGGAGATGAAATTTGAGGTGCCCAGGGACCTATCCTGTACTTTTACACATTCTCTTGGCAGCTGTGGGGAGCACGTGATGGCTCTGAAGGATGAGAAAGACATGATCAGACTTGAACTTTTGAATGATCGGGGCATAGAGGATGATGTGAGCAAGGTTCTGGAGGAGGGACGGGCTGTCAGAAAGACCAGGGTAGAGGATTTAAGGGCTTTAAGTGGTGCCATTGGGGCATCAGAATCATCAGAACATGGTGCCTGGGTTTGGGGGCTGTACAGCACGTCTCCCAATGTCAAGCCTGAGCTACTGTTGAAGCCGGGGGTGCTGGGGCTGCAACCATGGAGTGGGGCAGACAGGAAGAACAGGTTTAGAAAGAAAGACAAAGAGGTCAGTTTGGAACAGAACTCCATTTTAGGGAGACATTTGGCCAAATGGATGTGAGAAGCAACCTATCCTGGCTTCCCAGGGATATGTTAAAATTTGCAGACCATTCTTAGCCTCTGTTGAGAAATGATTAATATGCGCTACTCAAAGTGCACGCTAAGTCTCTAAAAGTTGAATTGTCTATAAAAATCTCGATTTCTCCCACTGGGTTCTCCCGAAAGTGGGTGGGTTGCTGCACATGTGGCTGTAGCCATCACTGCTGTCCTTCTCTCTTCAAAGGGCTCTTCGATTGTCTGGGTTTGGTGCCTTATTGATGGTTTTATGAATCTGGCCACATGTTTGAGCAGGTCAACGAGGGAGGATTTTGGTGTCTTTTGGAGGGGAAAATGTAATTTGCTTTTCAAGTTAGCCCAAATGAAGACTTATTCGAGCTCTCATTAGGAGGCAATAGGAATAGTAAACTAGCCTAATCTGCAGTGGGTAAAATGAGCTGGGTTACTGTGAGGTATGCAAACAGGGAGCTACTGTGCAGTCCACTGGACATGCTGTGCTGTACTGCAACCAGGGGTGCTTGAGCTTTGCCCACGCACAGCCCCCTTTCACTGGAGACATTTGCAGCACAAACAAGTGCTACCCAAAACACCTCCAAGTCACAAGGTATTTGATTTTGAATTAATTTTTGGTGTTTGCACCTCAGAAACCTTTTTATTGTTGCCGATTTTTTTTAGATACACCCCCTCACCCCCTGCCACCCCATTCAAATAAGGGATTTTCACCCACAGCCCACACAGGTTTGGTTAAATAGTTAAGCCATACGGTACAATGCTTACATGCTGTTTGGGTATGGTGGCTTTTGAATCAGGGTTTAAACTCCATAAGGGGCCACTGGGAGGCAAGAACAATTGGTTGAGACTTCCCGTCCATAAGCAACATTTCAGCCAGAGCAGCCTAATCTGTTTAACAGAAGTTTTGGACAGAAGCCAGGGGGAGGGAAGGACAGCTCGGTAAGATGGACCGCTACCCTGGGTTAGGATGGTAATTGTGGAGGAGTGCACGAGGCCAGCCCCCTCAGAAATCCTGGGCAGTCTCCACCTGGAACACAAAGACCACATCCATTGAAGTCACCGCAGCATAAACTCGCACTCCCATTTGGTTGGAAGAGGGATCTTGAAACTATTTTTCCTCAAGAGGAAGAATACATACACTGTCCCAAGCAAGTAATTCACAAACAAATGGAAAAGGGGGGAAAGAGGATGTGATTTACAAAGGACTGGAGCTCTTTATCCCTCTCCTGGTGCCAAAAAGAATGTGCACTAGCAGATGGATGGAGGCGATCATAAGAAGTGTGCAAGTCGCTAAAAGTGAGGTTGGAGGCAATGAACTACATATGATCCTTAAGTGGCTTGGCTACATTATTTTTCGGCACATGTTCTCTCAATCTCTTTTCTACCATTCAACTAGCTGACCTTCTAAAACGTAATTCAAACAGTCCTTTCAAAAAAAGGCCCATATAACAGAGAAGGTCTATCTTTGTGCTACCAACACAAAATAGAGCTTACACCTAGTCAATTTTTATTGGTAACTTACTTTTGTCCTCACTGATCTTAGCTTGTTGAAAGAAGAGCAAGGTATTTGATGTGTGCGTCTCTAATGTTTAGTACAAGGAGCTCTGGTGGTGATGTGGGCTACAAGTTGGGTTGCTTACCACAAGGTCAGCAGTTCGAAACCACCAGCCATCCCTGCCATCCCTCGAGAGGCAAAATATTTCTGCTCCCTTAAGAATTTACAGCCTCAGAAACCCACAAGGCCGGTTCTACTCTGTCCTATTAGGTGCCTTTGAGGAGAATCAGCCTGAAGACAGTGAAAGAGAATGTTTGGCATAATAAAAAATAAGAAAACTCATTGCCATCAAGTTGATCTGGATCCTATGGGACAGGGTAGAGCTTCCCCTGTGAGTTTCCACGACTGTAACTCTATAAGGGAGTAGAAGAAAGCCTTGTCTCCCATAGAGCAGTAGGTGGTTTCAAACTCTTGACCTTGTGAATCGCAGCCCAATGCATAACCACTAAGCCACCAGGGCTCCTTCTTAGCACAGTAAGAACTTCATAAATGTCTGTTGGATTAATAAATTCACAGGGCTTATACTTAGGATCCTATCAAATAAGTACATATGGAATTCTTAACAGGTACTTAGGTAACATACTCCTGCTTTATGGGAGAACCTTTAAGGGGAGCCCGAAAAAGACCAGGAGAAAGAGAAGCGGAGGGTTCCTTGGGTGGTATAAATGGTTAACATGCCGAGCTGCTAGCAGACAAGCTGGAGGGTGAGTCCACCCAGAGGGAGGCAAATCCCCCCAAACCCACTGCCACGGAGTTGAAATCAGCTCACAGTGACCCTATGAGGAAAGACCTGGAACGATCTACTTCAGAAAAATCCGCCATTTGAAAACACCACGAGGCTCACAGGGCGACTCCAGAACGCCTGAGGTGACTAGGAATCGGAACAGACTTGACCACCCCTGGTATTATCCTAAGGATGCAGAAAGAAGCACGTAGTATCTCGAGTTTTTTCTACTTGTGAGGTTAGGAAGTGTGGTAAGAGAAGATGGAATGCTTGCATGGGAATTCTTTCTCGGTGAGGTAAGTGAAATAAGTCACCACAATATATTGAGTGGGGGGCGGCGTAAAAGTGACACAAACTGATTGAAAGGTTTTGCCCAATTTAACAAAGATCCTTACGGTGACGAGCATAATTAGTGTCGCATGTGAACGCTGTTTCATAGGTTTACCAAAGGCGCCCTTCATCGTGGCTTGTGTTTTCGGCTGTTAATAGCAAGACCAGTTGTTGGAATCCAACCAGCTGCTCCACGGAGAAGGGGGAAAGATGTCTGCTCCCAAAAAAGTTAGAGCCTCGGAAACCCTAGGGAGCAGTTCTACTCGGTCCCATCGGGTCCCTCTGAGTCTGGGTCAACTCCGATCGATCGCTGTGGGTGGACCGTCTTAAAACGCCAGCGAAAGCTATCGCAGGACAACCGTGGGTGAACACGGGTTTCCCGCGCGCATTTAAATTTGTTGCCTCATCTCACCAGTTATCTTTCTTTTCTTCCTCGTCAATCAAGCCCATCTTTGTCAAAACCATACAGAGTAACTGTTCACAGGTAAGCAACAAAACGAAACGAAGCAAAGCAAAAGAAAACACCACCCCACCCCCCAAAAGAGAAAAAAAAAAACCCAAACCAAACCAAAAAAAAAAACAAAACCCTGCCTTCAAACGCAGACGAGTGTGGGGTCGTAGACCGCGGTCGGGTCCCTTCCTGGGACTTGGTGGTCAATTCGACTCTCGAACGTACGTCTCCGAGGGGGACGATGGTACAGAGGCGGCCACCTCGCGCAAGCCGAAGGTCCCAGCCCCGGCGAAATTCCAGGACACCGAACTTGGAAGGCGTCTGCGCACAGAACCCTTCGCTCGCGAAGGGAGGGAGTGTGGGCATGAAGCCCGGGCAAGTGGCCCGAGCCAGCGTTGCAACCCGGAAACACACAAGGGCGGGCCGCGGTGCCCAGAGTTGCAGTTCCGGGTCAGGCCAGTTGGCGCCTGCGCACTACCTCTGCCGCAGTGCCCCGCCCCTGCGCAGAGGAGCTGGGCTGGCAGTCTCCATCCAACCGCTGTGGTGGCCAGATGGCTGAGGGAGATCCAGCAGCCGACCAGAGGCAGGTGAGGACCCAGCCGGCGCGCATCCTCCAGCTCTGGCTCGCCCTCACTTCGCTGCCCCGGGCCGCCTCCGCTGAGGGGTCCTCTGCCCGGGGTCACCCCCAGCCCCACCAGTACCTCCCGGCTGTGTCGTCTTGTCTGCCATCCTCCATTTTTCTGGCGCAGATTCTCCACCGAGCGCTCTTGGGTTGGCGGTCCCCCGTCACTAGTGGGTTCCCCTCGGATGGCGTCGCGGCCAACCTTCTGCAAGGATAGTGCGTCAACCATCAGAGCCCGAAGCCCGGGGTTCTGCTTGCCGCGCAGTCGCTTGGGACCAGCCCTTTGAGAACCCTTGTTTCTACCTCTGCGAAATGGGTGGTCGCACAGATGTTAGGGCTCCCCGAAGACCCACCGAACCTTATCCATCTTAGTGTTGAGGTTTCCCTGGTGCATGGTGGATGCGGGCATTTGATAAGGCGTTTCCCGCCGGCCTATGCGGACAAAATGGGAGATGGGGTGGGGGGGCTGGAAAATGAGGTGCATCCCTGGTGTCTCATTTCTCATCTGCAGACCCAGTCGTTTGTCTTTTTAAATCCCAAGCCTATACAGTTTTGGGAAGGGTATGCTAGCCCCCCCCCCCAAAAGCAACGCAACTACCACCGAGCCCCCATACCCAAATTCGAAGAAGAAGAAGAAGAAATCCAGAGTATAAGGCGGATGCGTGGTAAAACCTGACTGGGAGTTGGGGGGTTGGGCACCTGCCTGTTAAAAACTAGGTAGAGCAGAGAAATTATTTGCAACCTATAAATTTCGAGTCTTGCGGCAGGGTATGGATGTGCATATATATTGTAGCCAAAACATATTAATGTAGCCAGGCTCAAGTCCCAGCAATCCAGCGGCGTCTGGCGACCACCCAGAAAGCAGGACGTATTGATCGGGTGCGGCTCATCCAGGGTCTCTTCCTACAGATAGATTTTCTTTTCTTTTTAGTAGGCTAGTGACAATAAATGCAAATACCGCATAGAGGAGAAGGGTCAAAAAAGGAAGGAAAAAAAGGTGTTTAGGGTATGTAAATTTGTTGACTTTTTTTCCCCTCCCTGGTCAACTTCTTTCAGAATGAGGAAATTGAAGCAATGGCTGCTATATATGGCGATGAATGGTGTGTCGTTGATGAGTGTGCCAAAATATTTTGTATTAGAATTAATGACACTACAAAAAATCCCAAATGGACCCTTTGCTTGCAGGTATTTTTTTTTTTCCCCTTCTCTACAACCATTTCCACTTCAGCATTGACTCTGTGTGATTGACCATTATTCTTTTACTGACAAATTTGGGGGCGATATTGTTCTTTTGGTGGTGGTGGTGGTGACGACTTGTCAGAGATCAGCTAAACATATCAGTAATTGAATCTTGGATCACCTTCAAGTCACGCTTTAATACGTAGTTTCATTTTATTTCTTATTGTTTAATTCCAATTCTTTTCATCAGAATGCACTTAATGTACCATTGACAGGCTTGAGCTTCCCTCCCCATCATTTATTTTGCCCATCTAATTAATAGGTGAGTGCCTAAACCTGGCAAGATGGCTGACAGTACGGAGGAAGAATCGGTCATTTAGATGACTCATAGGGTTGCTGCTGTTTTCTTTATTAAACCCAGAGGCTGTTGACTAGAATGCAATCAAGATGACTGCTCGTCCTTCTACCATCAAGGATGCTGCATCGAGCTTTGTCATGATCTTTTTCATAATAGGAACTGATTTTCAAGGAAATGTGTATGATTTTCTATTGTGTTAGCTATTGCATCATCGATTCAAACTGGATGCCATATTTTTAAATTTTAGAGGATTTAAGTAGACATCTTCAGAAACATCTAGAAAAGCTGTTTTCGTGCCATTCAAGCCATTTAAGTCAAGGATACATTTACCTCTAATTTTGGTTCTCATTTTCCATTGTCTCCCTACGTTTATTCTCACATTTGGTCATTTCTGAGCAGTGATTGGCCCCTTCTCAAAAAATTGCTGCATCACTCAGGCCTACTCAGTAGGGAAGCAGAAATTCCAGGAAGGAATTCTCTGCTGAGATTTAATAAAGCAGTGGTTCTGTTTTTTGAGACTGGCAAGCTAGAGATTTAACTGATGACTAGCTTTAGAAATAGAGGTTTTGATCCATGATAAAGTGTACCCAGATTTGTTTTTAAACTGCTTCATAGGTGCTGCTACCGAGTGAATACCCAAGTACAGCTCCACCCATTTATCAACTGAAGTAAGCAATATCTCTCTACATTTATATTTTTATCAAAAGATGCTATTTTTTCAAAGATCGTTTCTCTGTACTATACTTTGTGTTTATATAAGACCTTTATTCTTAAAATGCATACAGAAGTTAAAAATGCCCTTTTTTAGCTTCTATCTACATTTTAAAGAACTTAAATAGAAAATTTAATTTTATGAAAGCACATTGAAACATGCCACTTTTGTATAAAGGAGAATCACAGGTTTGGAGGAATGACGCAGGCACAGAATTGGCTTTAGAGCCAGAGAAAGAAACCTCCTCCTTTAGACAACCTGTTGTTTGTTGTCTGTGACGTTGTTTGAGAGACTCCATCTGTGGGAGTAAAATGGCCCCCAAGGTTTTTCTTGCTGGCTATCTGGAAAGGTGCAGATTTTCCAGCCTGGCACCCACACAACCCCTGGGGCAACCTTTTTGTTAGTCATCTAGCCTCAACATCTAGAAAGTGACGCTGCCTTAAAGGGTTTCACCTAGACCACCATTAAGACAGTTCTGAGTCATTCCTTGATAATCCTCCGCTTAAAACTGCCTGCCTTCTAGAAATGACGCTGCAGATGCTGCTTCCGGGCCCCCCCCCCCCCCCCCCCCCCCCTGTTTTTGAGCAACCATTTTAGCAGCTCTGGCTTAATCTTTCTGAGCCCCTGACTTCTGCCTTGCCCACTTGGCTGAGGAAGATTTATAAACCTGTAAGGCACAGAATTGTATCAATTTAAAACTATCGATTACTAAAAATATTTTTGACCTACAAGTAGGATTCTCTTTCTGTCTTTGAAACCATAGCAATAAAGTATATTATTAATAATAGCTCTAATTTAAATTTTTAGTTGCCGTAGGTGATAAATAGAATTATAGAATGCTGGTAAACAGTCCTTTTTTAAAAAAAAAATTGTTTTTTCCTAAAACAATGTGACAAACAGCTTGTTTTTTGAGAAATCAGAAGAAAATTGGGAACCTTGAGATTCTAGGACCTATTTTGCCATTTGTACAAACTTGAACAAGTCTATGATATTCTGTAAACCTGTCTTATTTTTTAAACTATTAAAATGAAATAATAAAGATTTTTATCATGGCTTGTTGCAAGGACCAAATGAGTTTATGCTAATGAAAGCATTTTGCAGCTGTATAAATTTATAGAAACATATGGATGAAAATTTATCATTTTCAAAAGTGAACTAAAGCGTGTGATTTAATCTAATTTCTGTATGAGATAAAAACACAATCCTTGAATAATCTTCTTTATTGTGTTTTATTTCATCTTAGTGCTCCTTGGCTTAGAGGGCAAGAACGTATGGATTTATCCAATAGCCTTGAGGAAATATATATGTAAGTGACAGGTGATTAAAATAAGGTCTGGTAGTGATTATTTTGTGGGCATTTGTTGAAACCGTGATTGTGTTAGTGCCTTTTTTGTTAAGCAGCCTTTCCATTTAAAAAAGAAAAGATGCACTGAAAGAGGCCTTGAAGGTTGATTTTTATATGTGGAATTTTAAATATATATTTAATGTGACTTCTAATCAAATGTGGAAATGCAGTAATTAAGAGCTAATCACTATAAAAACATTTGGTCAACTATGAATGTAAACTCAGAGAATACAGCTCATAGGCTAGGTAGAATGAAATTTGTATCTGCAGTATCCTAAGCTTAATTCCTTATCAAATATATATATTTTAATGGAAATTTCTTTGGGGCCATAGGACTTAGAATCCATTGCTCTAGTGTATTTTCCATTCATTAAACAAATATTCATGATATAGCAGCACTGTGCTAGATCCGGAGTATGCATGGTTAGGATAAAGCAGAATCCCTGTTTTTCTGGGATTTAGGATATATTGGGGAAAGTGTCATTCAGCATCATAAAAATAAATGGCAAATTGCATCTATGAATACCCTCCAGTGAACGAAGGATATACAGTACTGAAACGTTTCAAACAGAACATGAGCTATTCCAGGACATCTTGTGTGACTGAAGTATGGAGTTCATTAGGGTGACGGTAACTCCAGTGAGAGCACAACTTGAGCAAAGGCTCTGTGTCAAGGAGTTGGGCACACATTTCAGAAAGCATAAGGGTGGCATGAAATGGGAGGGGGGAGGTGGGAGCATGATGGGAGAATGCCCTGGAGACAATAGAGGAACTCATGCACGGTTTTGTAGTCTAGGTTAACGATGCTCACCTTTATTTCAAAAGCAATGGGAAATGGGAAAGAGTAGTGGGCATACTGTCAAATCACCCTGGGATGATGTAAAAAAATATACCACTGAGTGTCCTTAAAGAGCAAAACCTTATTTTCTTACAGTCAAAAACAGGAACTTGATTGTGTTGATTCCTTCTGTAGGTTTCTCCCAGAATTCCTGCTGGCTGCTGGCCATCTTGGGCACTCCTTTGCTAATAAATGGGTCCTCGCGTACTTGTCTGTTTTCCCCCTGTGTCACTGTGTGTATTCTGTTCTTTTTATAAGACCCCACTCACTAAAACACCTCACAAATGATGTGTACCTACTTTACTCTGCCATGATTCCACTACCATAATAAAACCTTACTTTTTAAATTTTATTTTTTCAAGTTAAACCATTTTAAAGTTTTGACATAATTTGCATCACACACAATTCAATAGTTCCATCATATTAAAAAGAGCTGTGCGATCATCACCACAATCAATTTTAGAGCACTTCTTTCTTGTACTCATTGGCTCCTCGTTTCCCCTCAACCTCCCCTGCCATACCACCAAGAAACCATTAATCCAGTTACTATCTATAGATTACCTATCCTGGATTTCTTATTCAGAAAAGCATTAAAAAACTTTTAGCAAAAGACAGAAACATGTCAATTGAAAAGAAAGCAGAAACTATTAACTCAAATTTAAAATGGTCAAAAAGGCAATCAAGTGATAGTGTGTTACATTTTAACCTAACTACATCTGCAACCGGCTACTTTCCAATGCACTCTTCTGGTAGCTAGGCTACTTCCATTCTTGGTCTGTGGCCAGAGGAAACTCACTTAATCAGAATGGGGACCCAGCAAATGGATTTTGGGTTTTCACTGCCATCCATAGGCTTCTGCAAACGGTGCTCAGAAGTTAAGCTCTAATACAGCTCTCTCCTCTGGTCTAAGACTTTATTATTTACAACCCTCAAATCACACAAGCTTGTGTGCTATTTCTATGTGGACTTGGCAGACACTTCACTTACATGGCTGCTTTTATAAGGCAAGTCTTTAAGACTCCAGACACTATTTTTTCTGGTAGCCTGACACAATCTGATTTCTTCACCACACACTGCTGTAGCACCCATATCTTCAGTGGGCATGAGGGCAGATATCGAACAGGACCATGTCGTAAGAACTAATTGTTCTTAGATTAGGGCTATATTAAGTGTGAGCTAAAAAAATCCATATATATATGGTTTATGTTCCTGGGTCACTTTAGATAGATCATTATCATTTATTGGGGATATGATAATCATCTCCATGGGGCATATGGTAATTCTATTGATAGTATTAATTTAGCCATTGTTGAAGAATTTAAAACATGGTTGAGAAAAGGAAAGTATACATGTTTAGGACAGCATTTTAGACCAAAAGACGGGGATTGTTGACCTATCCAGATTAAAAACTTAAGTGACTGGTCATTATACAAACAATGAAGATTGGAGATAGGGAAAAACTTTAAATAATGCTGTTTCACAAAAGCAGAACTATGCTAGGCTTAAGACATCATTAAAAGAAAAAACTTTATTAAAAATTAGATGAAAATAGCAGATATATGGTAGCCTTGAGTTGCTTCTATTGGGCACCCTCAAAGCAAGAGATTTAAACCGAAGTGCAATGATTTCCAAATCTCTATCCTTGAGAATAGTAATCATATGTTGCTTCTTAACACTAGGGCATTTCAGCCTTCAGTGCAAGGGCTTTAATTTGCTACAGTTGTGATAAAACCCTATTTTCTAAATAGGGTTATATTTATAGATACAGGTATTACAGATATAGGTGTGTCCTGTCACACACACGCTCCCACTCTCCAGTTATATCGAACTGCTGACCTTGTGGTTAGCAGCCCAATACATAACCTAGCACCACCAGAACGCCTCTGACTAAAAGTAACCAAGATTTAGATATCTCACCATGGGCTTCCCCCCATTTAGTAATCTCACCACCTTGACATGTGTCTTCCATTAACTGGACTTTGTTAACCATCCCCAACCCAAAGTTGTAATTGGCCACTACTCTTGTTCTCCCAATATTTTTTTCCTGTAATCCTTTATTACTAATTTGCTTTGCCCAGAAAGTCAAGTAAGGGGTGCATACTGTGTTTGTTTACTGGTGATGACCCGACTGTCCACCTGACATTCAATTTTCACTACTACTTTGACTTGTCAAGCCTTTAGTGGTATCAACGCCTTTCTTAAAAATATTTCCATTCTTGGCTTCCATGTTTACCATGATCATCAGTCCCATCCATGTGCAATGTCGTGCAGTCTGAAATGGCTTTCTGCCTGCCTTTTCCTGAAGCTCTCCTGTACTAAGATGTACACTCCCACAGGACACAACACCCCTGTTCTTTAAGAGTTCAGTTGATTTATTATTTAGGAAGGGTTGGGGCTTTCAAAGTAGTTTGTTCTAAGGGTGCAATAGAGACGATTCTGTATTCTTTTTAATAAAAGTACTTGGAAAACCCCAGTCCCGTTGGTATTGTTTTCGCACCAGGAGCATAAATAGAAATGTATATTCTTTTTTGAAAGGTTTATTGTGACAATGTTGACTTGTATTTTTACACATAATTTATTCCAGCAGGGGCAGCAAGTGGAAAAGCATTCAAACCAATCCACCATCATCCTGTCTTTCAACTCATAGTTAAGCCCAGTGCTTAACTCAAAGCACAACCAACATTCCTGAAACATATTACTAGTGTAATACTAATATTACATGGGTGAATATAGTTCTTAGTGTTTGCAGTTTTTATTATGATTCAAAATGTTATAACACTTCTGGTTATTTGTCATCGTTTGAAATAATAAACTTGGTTTTTATCTCAATAAATAAAAGATAAGCTGTCTTATGAAGAGAGATATGAAAGCAGAAAATGTTTTTTCTTCAGTCACCGTTTTCAGCATTGGCAATATGCTGCTTCTCGACTAAGCTTTGGGGAGTTAAAAATAAAGATAGATGTTTACCCCTAGAATGCTATGATCATGGAGGGTTGGGGCCAAGTGCTATAACAGCACTCATGGAGGTCTTCACACCAAACTCTGGACATGTGATGAGGACCTAGAGAAGGGGGCTACATCATGACAGTGACCTCTGAGTACGTTTTGCTAGGTCATCACCAGGGGGAAGTCGAATGGATACAGTCTCATTGCTGTGAAGCCACCTGACATCTTCAGAGGTCAGCGAGCAGTTTAAGATGCCAGGTGTATAAATTTAAGAGAAGTGTAAGACAAAAAGACCACGTAAACTGAAGTAAGCAGTCCGGGTTTTATCTTGTCTGCTGGACATTTTAAGCAGCCATGTTTGACAACATGGAGAAAGAGTGGGATTGTGGAGAAGGGAGTAGATCATCCATGAAGAGGGTGCAGGAAGGGATCCCACAGGAAGAGCGATCCATAACTCGGTTGGTGGAGGCCCTCCTTTAATAAAGGCAATGAGAACATAGATGGAGAAGAAGGGCTAAAACAAACATGTAAAGAAGGTAACCTGGGATTGGATGGCTTGGTGTAGAGCTACTTGATTATCACACCGTATTCTTGCATGTATATTTTGCTTGTGACTTTTAAATCAAGACTACTGTAATAAAACATAAATAACATTTAAAACATGCTAATTTTTGTTTTAAGACAATGAAAAGGATTACTATTTTCTTCTTTTTGTATTTGAACTTGTGATGGTCCACTGAATAATTTTAAATTCAAGCAAATGATTTTAGTACCCTACAACTCTTCATATTTTGCCGTGCCATGGTGTCTAAGAATTTAACATCGGAGAGTGAAGCTTCTGGAAGTCAGTCTTTGAAAAAGTGCGACTTCTTTGTGTCTATGTTCTCACCTATTACAAAGGTACCATCTTTGTTGGGATTTTAATCCATGTAGCACTTTAGCATATACTCACAGCTATCGTTATTGATGTTCTTATTAAAAGTTACATAAAAGTTACGCCATTTTGAAACTCAGATCAAGTGATTGGTCTAGTTATCCATATTAGTACATTTTGGTAAGGAACGTTTTTTTAAAAAATTAAAAATATTGGGACATTAAAGATGCAGAAATTAGAGTCAAAGGAAAATTAGAGTCCCAAATTATCTGACTTTGTTTGGATTATGCTAGACTAGAGAGAAGTTATTTAAGAAGAGTGACTCAAAATAAACTAAAATCCTTGGCTTTTAAAGTTGATCTTTTTCTCAAGTTGAAATAAATTTGGAGCCAGAGTCTTTATATTTATCTGCTTTACCATCATTTTGATTTTTGTACATAAAGCATAGGATCTCGATATTTAATGACTGTCTCAAATTGTGTACTGAAATCTGTAAGAATCAGCACACTTCCTTCCAGGACCACTTAGGGTAGGAAGAAGAAGCTCAGTAACCAGAGCTCCATGCTCAGTGCATCTTCGTGTGTTTGTGAATCTGTAAGATCTCCTTACCATAGCAGCCAAAGTGTGGAAACCCTATCTCTTCAGAGTCATAACAACCTCTACTGGACAGTTAGCTAGGAACAAGCTATTATCACGAGAAAACACAAGCAACACAGCAACAAATTGAAACCAGCAAAAAATCCCCTTCACTGGCAGCATTTTGGGGTCTAGGGAAATAACGATTTTCATTTTCCTCAGCAAACCTACACACCCATCACAACTTCCTTCCCACTGACTATGAGTTCAGAGTTGTGCTAAATATTAATGAGGAAAGTCAACCAACCAAACCTGTTTGTCGAAGATCGTGCAGAAGCCATGATAGAAGGAAAGTATGCCAAACCCCATTGCCGTCAAGTTGACTCCCAGCAGTGATGAGGCTGTCCAACTGCCAGCTGTCTGCGGTTGGAACTCGACCTTCCAATTAGCAGCCAAGCACTCAGTCCGCAGCACCACCAGGTTCTGTATTTGGCTCAGTATATTTGGTTCTGTATATTGGCCAAATAGCTCAGTATTTGGCTAATGGGAAGCTTAAGATGGATTCTAGAATTGCCTCAACTTACCAAAACCAGAGCTACTGCCTTCCAGTAGATTCTGACTCAGCAACCCTGCAGAGGGTTTCCAAGATTGTGAAGCTTCCTCTCTCCTGTGGAGTGGCTGGTGGGTGTGAGGCGCTGACCGTACAGTCATCAGTCCAGTGTTTACCCGACAGTGCCGCCAAGGCTGGAGAACTGCCTCCACTTTTAATAATAAAACACTGGAAAAGAAGGGGCTCGCTTGGGAACTGACCACCACAGGGACATTTCTCTGATGCTTCATGCTGAGTGAGAAGCTTCACAAACAGAAGACATGGAAACAATAGTTTCATATGGTGATATTTTTTGTTTAATAAAAATTTCTATGTGTAGCAATCATTTTTATTTACCTTCATACAATGCTCTATTTCTAACCCATGTTATTCTACATGCTGGCTGTGGACGGTCCCGTTGGTGGATGCTGACGAGTCGTGATAAAGAAAAGCATTGGTCTTAAGGGGAGTTATTAGAGAAAGGAGGGTGAGGGCGTTACTCTTAGGTAGCGTGATTCCCTTTAAATATACCTATCAAAACGCACCTACAATGAGAGTTGAAACTTGGGCCTGTATGTCATTGCTGTTGCCATCTGGGCAAATCTCCTGAGCCATTCTTATTCCCAGTGAGCCTTTGAGATTAATTTAGTTACCCAAGGTAGCCAAACATAATTTTCAACATAAATGACTCAATTTGGACAATAGAATATTTTGCCAAAACGAAAGAGGGCGGCTATACCCTTAGTGAGTTGAGGAAGTTCCCCCAACGCATGGCATTTTCCTGGTGGAAACAAGTATACAAGATGAAGTATACCAAATGGGTGGGTTGAGATTGGTCAAAAAGTTCCGAAAAGCAAGCAAGGAGTAGACATCAGTAGGGAAACTATATCCTCAGAAAGTCTGTCACACTCATGCTTTCCCAGTTCAAGCCAGGGTTTTCCTTTCCGTGGTCGCACTTGTTCAAGGCAGTGTTACTCTGCAAGTCCGTTGGAATTTTAAATGTACAGTTTATCTTCCTCTTTGAAACGCGTGTTTCGGTTGTGCATACACTGTTGATGATTAAGAAGGACGACGGAGCTGGAGAAGGTAAGCTTCTGAAGTAATTGTGTTTTCTGGCTTCTATTTAGACAGAACATTGGTGAGAGTATTCTTTACCTGTGGGTGGAGAAAGTGAGAGATTTCCTGATACAAAAATCTCAGGGCACAGACCCAGGTAGGATTGAAAATGCGCTCAATGCTCTTTTACATTTATAGTAAATAAACTTTTGGGTCGATATTCTACAGATGGAAATCTGTATTCTGCTCTGTTGAGTGTATGTATTAGAATGTAAGCTTCTCTGAAAAGTTGGCATAGTCATATAATCATGGTTATTTCTTTGACCAGGTTTACCATCTTTAGTTTTAGAGTATTCTTATAGAAAAGTAGTTTGATGGCTAAAGAACAGGTCAAACTTCCCTGTTTTTTACTTTTTTTTAAGATTATATGAACATACATGAACCTTGTAATATGCCTTATGAATTATTGTACTATATAAATTAGACATTACTTTCACATAAATCTAGTGTTTGTAGGAAAAGAACATTGAAAAATAGTGACCAATGCAAGGAAATAAAAATTGATTTTTAAAAAATGGAGGTATAATTAACAAACTAATATTCACCCTTTGAGAGTGTACAATTCAGCCAATTTTACTGTATTCACAAAGTTGTGCAACCAGTACACCTAACCGAGTTCAGAAAATTTGGAAATTGATAGTTCCATTAATCTTTTATTGGCTGTAAGCATATGGCAATATGGTAATTGCTAACATTTCTGATTATTATCTTCATCTTTGCTCTGCTTGTCACAAATGCTTTTTAGAAAAGAAGCTAACTTATTTTAATCTGATTTTATTTCCAAGTAAAATTTTATTGTTAGTACTGGTTTACTGTTTTTAAATAAGGGGAAAGAGTGCATTTTTAAAAGCAACACTAAAAAAAAGCAACTGTTATAAAATTTTCAGAAGGATATGCCCGGAGAACCAGTTACTTACCACTCTGTTAGCAGAATTATCACACATATATTTGGTAGTAGTTTATCTTTTTCAGAGCATGTCACCATTTTCTACGGAAGCAAACATTTTTTTTATTACTTTCAAGACAAAGTATTAATTGGCATGAAGGTATCATGTCCATGTAATAATCTTTTTTGGAAATATTTTCAATTTTTTTATGACTCAGGTACTGATTTTATAGCATTTTAGGACCTCTCTAGAGAAGAATGGTTTTTAAAATTCTTAAAAATTTCCAACCTGCCATTTAGAATGCAGGGCAATTGCAAAAGAGAATGCACACCAGTAAAATCTACTAGATCTCCCAGAAGTTTGAGATCACTTAACTGATAGGAAGTTTTTGTAATTACCAATCTTAAAAATGGTACTTTCCCCTCTCTACCTGTAATTCTGTTTAGGCACTCTTCCAATTTTAGAGTTATTCATTTATTTAGTACGTTTGCTAATTTTGAATTTTTAGAAAAAATTTTTTTAGCATTTTACATTAGAATTTTCTTCTGTCTGCATGTTAAAATGGAAGAATTTTTAATTCTGCAGAACTAATTAAGATAAGAGTTGGTATTCAGGAAAGCTCATGAGTGTTCTCTAAGGCTCTCCATTGAGTAAGTATTTATTTTGGTCTTTCGATTAGTTTTTAGTGCAAATTTACCTTTTGCTCCTTAACAGTTTAGTGTAGAAAATGCAATTGCACTACTCTTTGGTTAAACACCAAGACCCAGTCATTTTTTAAGTGTGATTTCTTACTTTCCTTGGTAAGCTAGTCATACTATCTCATATCCACATAGAACCCGAAGTGAAGTCGAAAACTGAAGAGGAAGAGGTGGAAAGTGAGGAAGAGCTCACTGAAGTGTTTGATTCGGAAACTCCAGCTCAAGCAGTTGAACCTGAAATGAGTGAAAACAAAGCAGGTAGAATATTACGATCTGGGTTCATTTGAGGTGAGGAGGGTGGTAATATTACGCATTATTCAGAGGGATGGGACAGAAATTTAGTGAAAATCCTGGGATCCTGCTCATGTTTCAAGTAGCTCCCATTCATTTATGTCTTTATGGACTGGATATAAGCTTTCGTTTGAAAAAAGCAGACTCCACCATTATCAAGGGTGATAATAATAAATAGCGTCCAGTTCATATTGGCCTTCATGCTGTATTTGTCCAAAGGTCAAAATCAGTTTAAGAACAGGGTAAGACTGAGCATCCAAACTGAGCCTGATTTCTTGTCCTGTTCCTGCCACACACCAGTGTGATGACTTTTTGACATGTTTAAACCTCTCCGGCATTGTGTTTACACATGTTGGTTGACATATGCCCCATTAATTGTAAGACACAAACTGACTTGATGAGATTCAGCCAACCAGTGACTGGAAATAGGAGGGAACTTTGAATTATTTTCACTGAATAACTTTTCATCCAAACTGAGGTAGATGAACCACTGAGCCGCTGAATAACTTACCTCTGGTGAGAAACTGACTGTTCTTTCTAAAGAAGCAGGTTAATGGAATCGTGAACTCATTGGCATACCGGTGGGTGCATGATACCTTGTTGATATACTTAATTCCCTGATATGACGTCGGAACAGTTTTGTTAGCAGGGACACAATCTCAAGTTACAGGGATTCCGGCTCAGCAGTCAGCAGTCGTAGGAAGGACAAATGAATTTTGTTATATCAACAGTTCTCACCCTTTGGGTCTCAGGCCTCCTGTGCTAGGCCGGGTTGACTAGAGAAACAAATCCAGTGATACTAATATATGTGTAAGAAAGAGCTTTATATCAAGAAATAGTTATATATCAGGAAAACATCCCAGCCCAGTCCAAGTCTTCAAGTCCATAAGTCTGATACGAGTTCATAAGTCCCTCTTCAGACTCATGCAGCCACATGCAATCATGCAGAATGCAGGAAGATCACAGGCCACTGGGTGCAAAGTCCTGTGGATCCAATGGCGGTGGAAGCATAACAGGGATCCAGCAGCTCCCACGGTGGCCAGCAAGCAGGAAGGTGAAGACAGAGCGAGAGGCTGGCCTCCGGAGAGCTGTATCTCTCAATCGCACCTTCAAGTGATATCATCAGGCTGTGACCAGATTAACAGGCTAAACTCTACTCCTAGATTTTTATAAATCTTTAAGTTGACATGAAATTATGTAACTACCACAATTCCTTTATACTCTAAAATATTTAATGTTGTACCTACCAATTTATACTCCTGCAACAACCCAGGGTGTGAGTCCCAAACTATTGGGTGACTTCATTAAAAAACTTTGTCTACTGGGCAATGTGTTGGCCAACTTTTCACTTCAAGTTATAATTCAAGTGTATTTTTGAGGACAGGTGTTAAGCCCAACTTTAACAAGTTTGTATGGGTAGATGGGCCAGACCATCTACATTTCTTTCCCAGTTCTCCCCTCTCATGCTGTGCCCTCCCAAGGCCAGGTGCTCAGTATTCGTTTAATGTGCACAGAATGCATAACCATGGGTTCTTTCCATCTCTAGAAGCCGAGGAGTTGCCTCCCATTGACCATGGCGTTCCCATCACTGACCGCAGGAGTACTTTCCAGGCACACTTGGCCCCTGTTGTTTGTCTCCAACAGGTAAAGTTCCTGTGTCCAGCTCACCCTGATGTTGTCTTACCCAGCGAATTTAAGTAAACATCCTTCACTTTTAGTATCCTTTATTTTTACTCTTACGTTTAATTTTCACATAAGATAAAAATTATTTGTCCATTTTTTTAAACCCCCAAATTACTGTGACTCATGTAATGGGTTCTTGTGTTTCTCTTTGTCACATCTCTCAGAATGGTGTGTAAACTGATTAGAACCTAACCCTCTAGTGAATGTTCCAACAACCATCTCCCATTGTGGTGGTTGTAGACCACCATGGCACGACCCAGCTTCGTATGGCGACTGTTTGTCTGACCGAGAGGCAGCCTTGAAACCGAGTCCGCCCCATTGCTGCCCGTTAGTTAACGGGCAGTGGACAGACTGGCTGAGCCCCTTTCCTACCTGAATTCTTTTTCCTTTCTGCTTTCTGATCTTAAGTGACCTATTGCTACAATTTGGGAGACGTTTCAGTCAAAAACTGTATTCCTAGGTCTCTGCCTTTCTCACTCTTTCCAGAAAATCCCTTCTTCCTTGCTGCTGTAATCTAGCCACCTTAAACTTTACTGATGTAAGAGACAATGTCACCACTACCTATAAAGCTGAATTAAAAACCGAAGCAACTCTCATTACCTTCGCACGGCTTTGAAGCATGAATCTCTGCCTTTGGTCTCTGCAACTACGCGCTAACCTCTTCTCAAACCCTGACTTTTAGGAATACAGTTCTTTGAAAGGCTACCCTTTTGCTTTCTTTGAGTCTCCCGAAGGGGAAGTTCTTTTCTGCATTGACTTGTAGTGGAGATAACAGCTTTGGGCACACCCACCCTTCATGGCTCTTCTCCCAGGAATCCTGCTTTTGACCCTTGCATACAACCTTGTTGCCAGGGGTCCTCTATTCTAAACCTGTTCATCCTGGCTCCTCTTGCTGTTGCTGGCCATAGCCGCTTAGACTTATAGGATCATAATTTGTGAGCGCTGAAACATCTTAGAGACCGTTGTCTACTTCATTTTATTGATCAGGAGTCTGAGGACCTGAAAGGTTAAAAATGATGTACTCAAGATTGCACAGCTTGTGATCCAAATTGGTCTCCCTGTCTCCAGGTTAGTCTTCCCTGCTTCCAATATATGTCCCATACTCCTTGTCCTTTCTGACCTTTCTGAAAAGTCTGGCCGTGTATCACTCCCCTGCCCTCCAGTCTTTGCTGACGTCTGTGGTCTACAAGAAAAAGTTTAAGCTAAGCAACTAAATTTTAGGTGGTAAGACCCTAGCTTGTCATTCTTGACACATCTGCCATTTACCCATTCACATTCTGTTACACCTACATAAAACCATTGCTCACCTCCCAAACCTTTCTCTTTTATGTTCTTGCTAATATTGCCAGAAAAAGTACAGGATGCCAAGTTAAATTTCAATTGCAGATAAACATCACCCTGTGAGCTCGACTAACAGTAAAATTAATTCGTTATTTGCCTGGAGCTCAAATTTAACTGGACATCCTGTATTGTATTTTTATGTGCTAAATGGTAACCCTTGTCCCTGTCCTTGCACATGCTGTCTCCTCCGAATGAGCTCTCTTCTTCCTGCCCCACCTCCTCTTCCTTTCTGATGCAGAGTGACTCCCTACCACTTGATCTCTTCTGACCTCCCTCGTGCTACCTCCTCCCTGCACCTCCGTGGACTCCAGATTTTGGTATTATAACATCTGGCACAGGCCGATATTGTACACATTGGATGGGCATACATTGGGTAAATTTGCAGAACTGAATTTTTAGAAATCCTCACATTCACACGTAAGAGTCCCTACACAGGACCCCACATTTTCATGCACATATGCAAGTGGCTAGCTACCTCCTGTCCCTAAAATTAGGAGGCATTTTTGAAGATGGATCTTTCGGAGTCTAGAGGTACTCCTTGTTTTTAGACTGCAGTGTAGAACAGTGTCAACGATCATTGTTAACTGACATGGCTTTAGATGGCGTTCCAACATTTGTTTACAGAGCCAAGAAAAACATTCCTCAGCTTATTTCTGTCAATGCTTTTTTTTTTTTTAAGGTGAAAATGGTTCTTTCCAAATTGTATGAGAATAAGAAAATAGCTAATGCCACCCACAACATTTATGCCTACAGGTGAGCACTCAACATTGTGTTAAAGATGTACAATTTGTTAAAAAATGGGGGGGAGTCATGGATGGTTTTAAAAAATACCCTTATATGGTGTTTTTCTCCAAAATGAAAGTAATGGATGTGGATTTTATTTATTTAAAAGAAAAAAAATAATTAGAAGTAGAATGAGCCCTTTTCTGCTATTAAGTATAACTTTCAATAATATTTTTATATATTCCCCTTTTGTCTTTTCAACGGAAAGTTGATTTTTTTCCAATACTTTACTCATATATTTTTCTTAATTAAAAGATGCATTTATATATATTTATATAATGGCTTTATAGTTACTGTTTAATGACTGTGTAATATTTGCTTGAGGCTCTCTATCACAATATATTTAACTGTTTCTTTTGTGTTTCAGGTTTTCAGTACCATTAAAAATAGTCCTTGTATTTTTTAGATCATTTCCCGAGGGTAGACGTTGGTTGTCTAGATTTCTGTTTTCGAAATGAAGTCAGGGCCATAATGAAGAGAAAGAATAGGTCTCTATAAGTGGAATTAATCAAAAAGTGTGGATGTTTTTTGAATTTTTGATGCATATTGCCATATTACCCCCCCACCCCCACCCCCAAGTCTTTCTTGTAAACCTTTCAATTTAACCTCCCTTTAGCAGGGGATTAAAAGTGCAACTTTTACCACATGCCTCTTAGTTTTGAGTACTGAGGTTTTTAGACAAGTCTTTGCTCCTTTGTGACTGAAGAGACAAAGAGCACACGGTTTTTAATATACAAATAGATGCAGGCTTGATAAAGGACATCCCATCCGCTGCCAACTTGTCCTTTCTGACACACTGTGACCAAGTAGGGCAGAGTAGAACTGCCTCTGTGCATTTCTGAGATTTTGAATCGTTACTGGAGCAGAAAGCCTCATCTTTCTCCAGAGGAGCTGCTGGTGGGTTCAAACCACCAACCTATGCCACCAAGACACCTTTGAAAGGATATGGTTCAGGCCTAAAATCATTATCAACATAGAAATGTGGTTCAAATGTAAAATGTGATTGAGACTAGTAAAAACAAGGCTACCTGAAACAAAAAAAAAATTTACAGAAATAACATCCACCACTTTTGGTAGTTGAGTTTTAATATTACTGAGTTTGCATACATTTTAAATGCCAAAATTTACCACCACCACCCCAAAAAATCTCTGTTATATAATCTCTTCTTTAAGGACTAACCCTCAACAAAATGTTGATGAGTCATCAGTATGAAAATGAAGTATCACACTGAGCTCTCAGGGATTAGAATGTGTTGTAAAGGAGGTAACTCATTACCACCCCCTTACTCCTCTGTACCCTAAATTTGTCACATAAAATTGGCTGAATAGTACTGCCTTTCCTCAAATAAGCCAAGGCAAATTCAGGTGTCAAAAGCAGATTCTGACACACAACAATGACCGTCCGTGGGACTCCCAAAGCCATCAGCATTTACGGGAGCACATAGCCACCACTTTTTCCTGGCTGGGGGGTCGAAGCCACTGACCTGTGTGCTTCCTGGACAGCACCTCCAAGGCTCCTGCAACTGAAGTCAACTCTAACTAATAGAGCCTGATGACAGTAGCCGGTCAGTCAACAGTTATCGAATGCTATTATTGCTGTAATACAATTCATATAATTGATGCAGGCATGTAGATACATGTTAAACACGCCACTGCTAGCCAGATCAGTGGTCCCAATCCACCAGCCACTCCTTAGGCAAAAGATAATCATGGTCTGCTTCCATAAAGATTTACAGCCTGGGACTCCGAAGGGACCATTCTCTGCTGCCCTACAAAGTCACTATGAGTTGGAATTGTCCACTGTGTGTTGGGAGCGTTAGCCAGATCCTCGATGATACCAGTTGGGGAGGCCAAGGAATTCCACTAGATGGCAGACTTTGACCTGCCCGGTTTTCGTTTTTTGTATTTCTAGCACTTAGCTGCCTAGCTTTTTTCTCCATTGTAGGCACTGCATTATTTTTCCAAGTATTAACTGTCTAGATAATATAAAAGGGTAAAAAGAGTATAATTCATCTCTCATACTGATAACCATCCAAGGGAAAATGATAAAGAGAAAAAGAGCTCTTCTCATTCTTACCCAGAATGGAGAAGACAGAAAATAATACTAGCTTCAAGTAATGTGTGAAGAGAGTGCACACCATAAAATTGGTTTTTATCTCTTTGACCTTCTTTTGTGTGCACTTTATAAAACCTCTTTGATGACAGGAGTACGCCCCTACTTTTATATCACTTCATTAGGCCTGCTATGTACCAGGGGGCTTCAATGAGTTCATGGAAAAGTGTTACTATCTTTTCATTCTTTTTTCCACAAACTATTTGAAGCCCGTTCCTATAATGCTTCTGTACAGTATAAAAACTAACCCCAACTCACTGCCATAGAGTCAGTGCCAACTTATAGTGATACTGTACGACGGGGTAGAACTGCCGTTTTTTGGATTTCCAAGACTATAACTGTTTAGGGGAGTAGAAAGCCCCGCTTTTCTTCCATGGAAGTGCTGGTTTCAAACTTCCAACCTTGCGGATCATAGCAGAACAAGTAACCACTATACCACCACCGCTCCTCTGTCCAGTATATACTCAATAAACATTCTTGAATGACTACTGTATGACGTCACATCATCAGGGTAAAATGATTTGAATGAAGGAGGGGAAGTCTGACGTGTGTAAACCTGCCGCAATAGCATTTCTGATTCAAAGGAAGCACTGTTTGATCCCTAGCTTTCCAAATAAAAGACAATATCTATTAGATAGTAAATCATCAGGGGGGAAAGTATCCAATGTCTCCTCTAGTTCAAGAGGAAGAAAAAAATGAAAAATGTACTGACTTTAGAAGTAATCAGATGCATGGAAATGAACATGAAGGAGTAAATTTTATTATAATGTTTTGAGGTACTAAAGTGCAACCCTACGTTGTGTATTTCCAGAATATATTGTGAAGACAAGCAGACCTTCTTACAGGACTGTGAAGATGACGGGGAGACAGCCGCTGGGGGGCGTCTGCTCCACCTCATGGAGGTAATCTCGAGCTCACACCCACTGCCACTGAGTAGATTCCCACTCAGGGGCTTCGGTCAAGCCTCCTGACTTCTGTTCTTGTGAGCCATGACATGTCTCAACTAAGCAGAGCTCTTTAGCTATTTACTTGAGAAATAGGTTAAATCAGCCCAGCTGTAGAACGTAGCTTTGATTTCATTAGTAGTTAATTTGTAAACCTCAATTAAGTGCAATTATGGGGTTATGGAGTGAAAAGCAAACGTTTAATCCCGAGGTCTGAGCATTCTAGCTTTTTCCAGCCCATGCTGTTGTTGGCTGCCATCTCCCAGCTCCTGGGTTACCCCAGGCACAAAAGCATCGGGCTCTTGTGAGCCATAGGATTGAGTGATTTTTCCAGGAGTAGTTTGCAGGTCTTTCTCCCTGGTCAGTCTCAGTCTGGAAGCTATGCTGAGACTTTTTCAGCATCTTAGCAGTGCAGAAGCCTCCAGTGAGACATCAGTCCTGACTGTAGAAGTGTGTTGGTCAGGAGTCCTACATACAAGGTAAGAATTCTAGCACCAAACCATCTCTAGGCCCTTTCAGCTCATCAATAACCTAATTATTTTCAACTCTGGGCAATGCTTGCTTCTCTTTTCAGTTGACAATTGTTTACCCTTTGTTTTCTCAGTTCTGTCTTTGTGGAACTCAATGTCAGTTTATTAAGTTCTCTTATAGCATTGTTTTAGGCTCTGAGATGTTCTTATCTTCCACAATTTCTCTTAAATTTCAGTGGTTTTTGTTAATTTTTTTTTTTAAACAAGCACATACTTAATTTTCCAAAGTTCTTTTTCCATCTCTATTTTGTCACAATATCCTATTCTGGTTTTATGGATGCATTATCTTCTAAAGTTTCTGAGCATATACTAATTAGAGTACTTTTGCTTGGTCTTTTTGTGTGTGTGATTACTTGGTTTATTTTTGTAGTTGTTTTCCTCTTTAAAATTGTCCTCATCAGTTTCAGTTCGTCATCACATTGTTGTGATAGAGACTTGTGCTGTTGTATGCGGTGGTTGTTTTCTCACCAGACCTGACCTTGTCGACCTAGGCACTGGACGTCAAAAACAGAGAAGGGCTTCGCCGGCAGGCCCGTGCAGCCCCTGTTCTCTCCCATTAATGCTTCAACAGCTGGTTTTCTTCTGTTGCCTTTGTTGCCTAGCTCTGGGGTCCAAGGATAAAATGAGCTCTGCTGGCTAAAACCATGAAGACTTGGGACGGAGCCTGCCCGGGCGGCCTCCTACCTGTCCAGTTCCCCCAAAGTTTGGGACTTTAGGGCAGGGTAGAACAGTGTCTGTTGTCCAGGTTGCCTCCTCCTTCTAATATCCCCTCCCCTCATTTGTTAATAGTCTGACTCATTGTTCATGCTCATGGTTCCACCATGAGATCACTGGGATTTTCAAATGAGAGTATGCACATGGGTCACTTCATTCTACTTTAACACTTGCACTTAGATGTGTGCTGTATGCGTATAACTCTTTATGCTTCTGGAAATCACAGATTTTGAATGTGAGGAACGTCTTGGTGATTGTGTCCCGCTGGTACGGAGGCATCCTGATAGGACCGGATCGCTTTAAGCACATCAACAACTGTGCCAGAAATATACTTCTGGAGAAGAACTATATAAGTCTGCCGGTGAGTGGTTACTAATCATGTACGTACATAGGACGTTTCTTCCTTGGTGTCCGTGAAGCCCAACAAAACAGAAAACAGAAAACTAAGACCGAGTCAGGATGCGTGTGCTACATTAGAATCATCTTTGGACTAGGAAGTTGGTGATTCAAGTTCTAGTTAGCAGATGTGACTAGCCATTTGTGCCCTTGGGCAGATCACTTAATGGCCTTGAACTTTAAGTTCCGAGGTTCATGGAGTTTCGCAACTACAAAAACTTTCCAAGACCCTCTAGTTCCCACTTCTTAAAACTGAAGCCCAGAGAAATAGTAGCCAAAGTCCCACTGGCTACATGTTCTCCACGAGCATATGCTCTGCATTTTATTATTCTGTCGTAGAGCCTGTAAAAACGGCCTGGGGATTGCATCTGACCTCTGACTTCATACGAAAGCAGGAGAATCAGTCCAAGGCCGATTCTTCTGAGGCAGGAGGCAGGCATGCCTCCAGCCTTCTTCTTTCTTCAAGGGATAGCAACAGCTATCCCTCCCGCAGCTCGCTTTACTTCTCAACCGAGTTCAGCTGTTGATTGCAGTGGCCATAACACAACTTCGGCCACCACACTCATGCTATAAGGGCTTTATTAGGAACACCAGCAGATTACAGTTCAGGGTCAGGTAGGTGCATGACACAGTTCTTCAGTCAGGACAACTTTTCCTCAGCCATGCCCACAAGCTGACTTCCCTTTGGTCATGGGCCCTTAGGCTGTATACAGCCCCTTGGCCTCTGCCCTGTTCCAGCAGTGTTGCAAAGCTCTTTTAGCTCTGCTCATAAATGTGCCAAGAGCACACCACTCTGCCATAAGCCTTAGCCCAAAGGCTCTTGGTCTGTGGGTCAGCAAATCTAGCTCCCCCATGGGAGCGCCTGGGCCACCCCCTTTAGAAAGTGAGCTTCCTGCGCAAAGGCACTCAGCTGTGCTTGCTCTGCGAACCAGAAAGTCCACCCTTCTCTTCCTTGCTCCGACTCTTGACTGCTGCGGTCACTCCTCTGTGTCAAAGATTTTACCCCCAGATCTCATGAGTCCAAAGACTGCATTCCACTGCTGGCTCGGGATTCTTGATGGTAGTGAGATCTCGCTCCTCCCTTGCTTCAGTGATGACTTTTATGCAATAGGATGGGCAAACCAACCAATCCCCACTTTGGGATGCCAAGCTTTGACAAGTACAACTAATCCTGTTAACAGTCACTCACACGTGAACCCTGCCAGCAGCCCTGTGGTAGGGAACCCCAGGGACTCACATGCCTTTAGATATCTTCTTCCTCGTATTTTGAGTTCATTTTGTTTCCTATTTTAAATATATTCATTTTATTTAAACTCTGGAGAGTGAATAGACTCAATAACATTTAAATTACACAAATCTGATCCGTATTTTTCTTATATTACTCTTGATTTGTTTTAAAAATACTACAGTAGATTATTAAGCGAAAACCAAACTCCAAACTCACAGGACCCTACAGGACCGGGCAGAAAGCCCCGTCTGTCTCCTGTGGAGCAGCTGGTGATTGCCACCTGCGGACCCTGTGGTTCGCAGCCCGAGGTGTACCCACGTCACCACCAGGGCTTATTAAGTGCAAGCAGCCTGTAAAATAGAAGGGTGACACCCGTGGAATTGATTGATGCCCTCATTATTATGACTACCCGTGTGACTGTACTGAAGGTCTCCCCTAAGCCAGCATGCTCCTGTGCGTGGGGAGATGGCGCATCCCTTCGTGTCTTTTTTCAGGAGGAGTCGTCGAAGGCTGTGGGAAAGAACAAGAAAGTGAAGAAGGACAAGAAGAGGAGCGAGCATTGATCCCTGAAGCTACATGAAAGGCCAATTGGTCTATAGTCACATCCAAGTCTCAGTCATCAGAGAATATACATTGTGCAGTGAGAAAATTCCTGACTGCTCAAGTCAGCCAATTCATTGTGAACACCAGTATACCAGTATTATCTTCCTTGGTTATAGTGTTTCATCTGCCCAAAGTAGAGAACTTATAAGATTTCCATGTGTGTTTCAGGCTTATTCGAGAAAACTAATTTGAACGTAATTACAGCTTCATCTAATTTTAGGAAAGTAGCAGTTGCCCAGGACAGTACTTGAAATAACTGTCCATTCCAGTCACATGTCAAGTACCTTTGTTAGGTGGGGAAGAAATATCCCTAGAGGCATATAACTATCCGGTTTCTCGTCATTGGCATTGTCCTGCTGTTAAACTAGTATTATCTTCTGCTGCTCCTTGATGTGTGATCTTGGCAAGTTTCTGCTTGTGACTTATTTCCCAAGTCTGTTCCCTTTCATTCCATAGTGTTCACCACTGAGTAATGGCTGTAAGTGAGGATCCAGGAGTAGCCACTGCAGTTAATGTGCTGCGCTGAGGATTCTCCTCTGCATACTTGTTCGCATCAATGTTACACTGCAATTTCTGTAGCAAATTGGTGATTGTGAAATTTTACAGTGATTATCTAGTCTCTACCTGCTTTGAGTTACTTCTTGTAGAGTAATAATATGGCGTGTCAGTAGTCTTCTCCCACCCCAGAAAATGTGTTCGTGTCACCTTCTGATTTCTGTTCATAACCTGGAAGTACGTTTCTGTGCTTTTCACGGAGGAATTGAAACTGGACTGGAAGCTGTGTGGTGGCTCGTGGGGCAGTTGTAGGACGGGACAGAGGGTGGCAGAATGACCCCGGAATTGAGCAGAAATACACCGTGTAGTTAAAAAAAAATGTGATGCACACTGCCATTCCCACTCCAGACAAAACCTTGTCAATCCCATGATCTTGTGAAGGGGAGGAACAAACCTTTTTGATGGAGACAACAAAGAAAAACCCCTCTTTTTCCCGAGCCGATCAAATCTTCCTTAAGTCTTTGATTGCTTCCATCTGCAAGTTATTCAACTTACTTCTAGGCATTTGGATAATAAGTTTACTTTTAAGATGTAGTAAGTCCTTATCTATTTCCTTTGGGAGATGATTGTAAACACTTGCTAAAAACTAATGATGTCACATTTGCCTGGGCTTCTGCTCCCAATAGGGAGGGAACAGGAACTTTGGGTGGCACCACAGCATGGACAGTGCCAGAGAAAAGGGGCAGGGAGATGTTTTTTCCTTCTCGCTGATGTTTTGCCTTTTAAATATCCCACATCCTTACTTGATATTTTTAACATAAATCTAATGCATAGGCTTACATTAAGATGGAGTCTGAGGAATTAAGTTATATTTATTATTAGTGTGTTTAGTGTTGTCAGTTATCGAGAGTCATCAGAAGATGACCCACATTACCTCAAGTTCTATAAAGTTAACTGTCCTAGGTCCTGTTAAAGTAATTAAAGACATTAGAGACCATTCACTAACTAACATAATTTTACGATTTTGACATGTACAAAGAGATGTAAAACAGCAGGGGTTTGGTGCTGCAGAAAAGAAAGGTGAGTTCCTTTTTCTGCGATATCAAATTAGTCTTACAGGCTGTTTTAGCTAATATAAGTCTTTACAGAAAACAGAGCCCCCTACATATTCTAATTTACCCTTATTTAAAAATATATATACATATTAATTTTGTGTGTTTCTACAAAGTTTTAACCATATTTTACTGACTAAAAATATCAGCTCTTTTGTCTAAAGACAGCTAGTTAGTAAGAAAGAGAGATGAAAAATTCTCAAATTTTAACCCTGAGTTATTTCGTGCTCTGACCAATACGGAGACCCTAACTAATGATAGTAAGGTTTTATTTTCCCCCCTCTATTTAAAAATTCCCTTGATTAGAGGATTTTCAGATTCTCCAAATAATAATTTTTATAGCCAGATCTATGCTATGGCATATTTTACAGTACATTCTAGTAATTGAAATTATTATCTACATGCCAATATAAGCTCAAGTAGCATCTACTTTTTAAATGGGAATCGCAGTAGCTCCATCAAAAGTATACTTTGGAGGTGTATGTCATGAAACAGAACCTGTGTGAAGAGATTTATATCAAACTGATCATCACCAAGAAACAGCATGAAGCAGGTCTTGTTTGAAAGACAAGTGAAATTTATTGAGAGAATTGCACAAATCACCTGTAATCTCACTATCCAGAGATGGCCATTGTTGACATTTGGTATATACATTCTTCTATTTTTCTCCGATGCATGATTTTGTACATATGAATATTTTTCTTTCCACAGATAAGAGTATTAAATTGTATATATTGTTTTGTGTTCTGTAAATTTCATATAGAAGTGTAATATTGTAAACATTTTCTCATATCAATAAATATTCTATGGCACAATTTTTTATTGTGGTAAAAAATCTGTATAACATAGAATATCCCTTTTAACCATTTTGAAGTATACATGCGCCACTTGCTCGTTCCAAAACGTTTCCATCATTCTGTACCAAAATTCTATCCTCATTAAGCTCCGCTCAAACTCGGTTGCTTTTCCAGGAGGTCAATTCCGACTCACGGGTCAAAAAAGGCTTGGTGGCCTTGTGCAAATTTGTGGTTTTACTAGTTTATAAGCATTCCCTTAGATTAACTTATGCAGGAAGTTATTTTTCCTTCCACAACTTCAGGGCAGAGGGGCCATTCCTTCTCCCCATTTGATTAGGAAAGAAAGTGATAGTTTTAAGGCCAGCCCCTGTCATTGCATTGTCAGAATGGCACTGTAAGAGCGAAGTAGAGCTATAGCATACAGCTTGACTGGCAGAAGTAGAGGGTGCCATGTACAGCGCCGTTCACAATAGTAAAGAAGCTGGGGCTCTAGCCATCTGCAGATGAATGGAAAAGCCTCCAAGCATAGAGTGAGCAGCCAGTATGAATGCCCACTCAGCAACCCCAAAGCTGCTGTGTATGGATATGTACGCATGTCACTGTGTGCACCTGTACTCCGGAGGAGAGCACTCATGGATACTTGTTAGGTATAACCAAATCCCTCTTGGGGATTAGAACCACAGTCTCATGGGACTTCTTGGTCAACTCCATAATATAGTTCACAAAGTTTATAGTCTACATCTTGGTTTGGTGGGTAGTGTTCTGTGTCTTAAAAGTGTGCAGAGAAAAAGAGAGACAAGGAAACCAAAGACACTCGCAAAACTTAATCTACAGGACAATCTACAATGTAGACTCTATATGAACCACAGTCTCACCACCCTGAGACCAGAGAAATTAGATGGTGCCCAACTACCGCTACCAGCCCTTATAAGTGTCACAATAGAGGACCCCAGTAGAACCGGAGAAAATGTGGAACAGAACCTCAAATTCTTAAAAACCACACCACCACCACCAGCAAGAAAAACACCCTAGACTTTCTGAACTGCTTAAGGAGAAAAAGCTCAGACTTACCCTGAGATCATTTTTAAAGCTTCAACCAAAACTTGCCTGAGGTCAACTTTTAGATAAGAGATTGGTTCACAAAAATAAAAATCACCCATGAGTACTGTGTTCCTTTCTTAAACATACCAACTATGACACCAAATGGTCGGCAATTAATTTAAAACAAAGATGAGAATGCACGAAGGAGCAGGGAAACTAGATTAATGACAAAAAGACAACCAGAATGGAAATGATGAATGTTTGTGTGTTGTTAAGAAGATAACCAATGTCATTGAATAAATTATGTAGAATTGTCTGTGGAATCCAGCCCCACATCTGGATGGATCCTAAGCGGGCGGCTGTGTAATTGAGTAAATTAAAGAGACATGCAAAGGCCCGCCTCTTCCATGGAGACTGGAACCAGAGAGAGGAGGAATGTATTCTCCAACAGGCTTCTGTGATCTTGGGCATGCAAGCCACAGCATACGCACAGATCACAGGAAGGAGAGATACTAGAGGCATACAAGTAATAGGAAGGAGAGATACGAGGGGCACACATGTAATAGGAAGGGGAGGTACTAGCGGCACATACGTAACAAGAAAGTGGCTTAACCTTGGCCTTCCCTGAGCTGGCTTGAACTGAGGTGTCTCTGAGCTCTTTGCCAGGGGAATCATCTGTGAACCTGATCAGTAGGCAGTGGGCCATACTGATGGACAATGGGGTCTGATTGCTCTTGATGGTAGCCAAACTTCAGACAAGTAGCCTTCAAGTGTATGTAGTAGCAATCATGTGCTTGCAAGCACCTTAAGATTGGCATTATTAAAGGGGGGCATTGCGGGAAATAGCTTTTACTTAGGCGAATGTGCATGGGATGCATCCCCAACCCATGAACGTGAAGGTCTCCCTCCACAGGAGCCCCAGCCTCCCAGACTTATTAACATGTGAACTTGAGTTTGTCCGCATACACTCTTCCCGGTTCTGTTTCCCACAATTGTTGAGAATCGCTTCTCCTGACTTGTGTAGCTGCAGGGGTTGATAAACTAGGAATTAGGGAGACCACAGGCTCATGGTGGGTGTACAGGTAGAGGAATCTAAGGTTGGCTGCTGACAGCTCTCAGGATCAGCAGGCAATAGGGCAAGCTGTTGTCACCAGTACAAGAAATGGAGGTACACAAACCAGATGCAGGATCCAGGCCCAGCATAAAGGTGAGCTAGCATTCCCACGGCTTCAACTTATATAGGGAATAGGCCACCGTCCTGAGGAAACATCTTTCCAATTGCACCAGGGCTGTGACCTGAGTAAAGGGGGTTGTGCTCCACCCTAACCTCCCCGCAACTGTTTGACTGCTGCCAGCATATCCCATCATGGAGCTGATTACCTTATGTTGGGTCATGTTATAGGGGAGGACCGAACTGCCACACTACTGGGATCCCATATTGCAATAGTATAAAGGGAAGGAGTCTCATCACAGCTAAAGGGTATGACACAAGCAGACGTCCGGAGAAGCCAGGTCTGAGCTTTGGGGTGGCGCTCAGTGGTGCTTCCTCTCTAGACTCAGGCACCACTGTCTGGACTCAGAACCAGGGAGGTCAAGCTGGAGTCTCCAGCAGGCCCCAAATGAAATATCAGCCCAGTTTCCATCGGTCCCAACAGCAGAACTCCATGGGTCTTCATGGAGACTAGGGGGAAACCACCAGTCTCGCTGTTAGGGAAAAATAAAACAACATGCAGGCAAGCTGCAACAAATTGCCCCCAAACTCCTTAGACCCTTAGTTTCAAAGACATAAGATCGCCCAGTACATTTTATGCTGTGATAAAAGGTCGGTGTCATGCAGCTATCATGACAAAACAAATTCCATGGCTGCTTCATTTAGCCTTTGAATCTCAGACCACTCCCCTGACCCATGATCAAGGCATCTTTAAGACAAAGCGATCATTCTTGGTTTAACAGCAATTGCTTGCCTTACCAAGCCCCCAAACCAAACCCACTGCCAGTGAGTCGATTCTAATTTATAGCAATCCTGTGTAAGGTTTCCAAGATTGTTGATCTTTACAGTAGCAGACAGCCTTGTCTTTCTCCTGCAGTGTGGCTGGTGGGTTCAAACCCTGACCTTCCATTAGCCGCCCGATGCTTCACCCACTGGACTACTGGACCACCAGGGCTTCTATGTGTCTTATAGCATCACATAATCAACAGCCAATCAAAACATCCTACACATTTTACATGTTTGTCATAACCAGGAAAGAGTTGTGGATTGAAAGAGATAGCTGAATGGCCCCACCACAGACTTTCCTGTGTAGGGGGGCTAACTTCAGAATTCTTCTGCCTCCCTAATCTCCAGCTCCCTTCATGTTATGGTATATATCTATGGTAGAACTGAGAATAATGATTATCATTCATCAAGCCTAAATCGTCTTCAGGTCAATTCTCTTCCATTGGGATAACACCCCGAGGGTGTTTTACCTCAATCTCATATTACATTTGATCACCAGCATCAGTATTGTTATTCTTTTTATTAGCTACTTATTAAATCTATTTATTATATCTGTGTGGTGCCACCCAGTAGTATCATGCACTGCCCTGGATTCGTGGTACAATATAAATCAGAGATAAGTATATTTTACTTATTTCGTTCCTCCTAGCAGAATCTACCTTTTCTCATAGAAGTTTAGATCCAAGGCCATGTCTTTGTTATGTCAGAATTCCCTTTCCCTAAGCACATGGTTTGACAGGTAATGGTTCCCAGTGAGGGAGGCATCTACAAGACAGCATGTCATGGATTGAATTGTGACCCTCAACTGCATTGTATACCCCCAAAGAGGGACCTGACTACTTCCAGGAAAGATGAGTCAGGAGCAGACGGTATCCTTTGGGCCCAGGATCCCTGTGTCAAGAAGCTCCTAGAATCTTAGACCCAGTGGAAGGTTGACATGTGCAGAACTCCAGGGACTGCCCGTCTCACAGATAGGAAAGGAGACCAGGCCTTCCCCAGAATGGCCGGCAGAGAAAGGCTTCCCCTAGAGGTGTGCCTCCTGAACTGTGAACGAGTAAATTCCTGTTTGTTGAAGCCGTTCACTTGTGCTATTTCAACACTAGAGAACACTAGAGAACTTGGACAGAGGCCACCCCTTCCCACAGACTGGACTCCGTTGTTTGCGTTGCAGGCTGCCTTTGAGTCAGATCCAGACTCATGATGCTCCTCGGCTGTAATCTACCAAAACAGATCGCCACACCTTCCGCCGAAGGAGCTTCTGAGTAGGTTCGAACTGCCCATCGTTCCGTCAGTAGAGAGGATGCCCTGAGCATGCCACTGAGGCTCAGAAGCACTCTAGACCTGTTACAGTGTGCTTCATGCCCACGAGTTGCACTATAGGAAATGAATGGTTAACAAGCACTCATGGGCTTGAAGGTATTAAGGTGTTCCTTAAGATGTGGTACTCTCCATTAACAAATGCCCCTGGACTGGGGCCTGGAGTCTCCATCAGCACACACCCTGTGGCTGTGCGTTGTGATGCCTGGCCTTTGCGCCTGGGAGGTCAGAGACTGTGAACTCCGGCACCTAAACACCCAGCTTTGGTGGAAGTGCAAGCTCATCCCCTCTCAGTCAAAGTTTGGGTACGTGGGCTTAACTTTGATGGTGAGACCCATACTATCAATACACTGTTAACCATCTCACTTGCCTTTCTTATGATAGGAGCCTCTGGAAGTCCTGCATCCCCGGCATTTGCTCCAGCTGTGTTTGGCTTCCAAACATGCTTCTACATTAATAACAAATATCTCTTCATCACTTGCTCCCAGCCCAACTCCTAAGTCTCTTCAACTAATTCTCTTATTTCAAGTAGATCACAGCCATTTGATCCACCATTCCTGTTGTTGCTACTGAGTAATCTAGCTTTCTTATTATTATTAGGAATTAAAGTTTGACACCGGTAGCTACATAATCTGGTGTCAACTTGTGAAGGGGTGGAGTCTAG